CCTACACAGCTCGCTCTCTCCATGAGGTTTCTCTGCAAGAGTCCATTCGGTATGCTCCAGGAGACGCGGTGGAGAAGTGGCTGAATGAGCTGCTCTGCCTGGACTGTCTCAGCATTCCCCGGCTCATTTCTGGATGTCCACTTCCACAAACCTGTGACCTGTATCCTTGATTTACTTCAGAGGACTTGGTTAAACCTGTCACACCTTTGATTCACTAAAATGATGCAAGCAGAAATTCTTTGTGCTTAGCTTAAGAAAAAGAAAGTGGTCTGATGTGGTGGAGGGTGAGCCTATATTGAATTGGTGCACAGCAAACAGAAGCCTTTAGGGTCAACAGCGCCCTTCACAAGTTCCCAAAAGCCACAATAACATTATCAGATGTTTGGGCCAAAGCAACAGACCACAATCCAAAGATAATGAATTCACTTTCAAATTAGGCAAAGAAAAGCAGAACCATTTGTGTTGTATCTTAAAATTCATTTTCAGTTGCCAGTTTAGGTTAAAAAGTGTAAAGATAACCACATATCTAAACTCAGTTCAGGAAAAAAAAAGAGTCCTTGTAGACTGTATCTCTGTGCATTCACTGAATTGTCTGAGTGATATATACGCACTGCTACAGATGACACATGAAGTTGAGTTTATGCTTTGTCTTTAACCTGTGCTGACCAGATACTATGTGAACAGAGACACACTGTTCTGTTACCACAAGGCATCTGAGGCGTTTCTGCAGAGGTTGATGGCTCTCTATGTGGCATCCCACTACAAGGTGACTTCAATAGAGATTTGTTGAATCCTAACAAGCACACAGGAACTGAGGAGTTTATTAACACAATATATAGATGTAGTTTATACCCAAAAATTACAAAACCAAGTAGATTAACAACCCAGCATGCAACACTAATAGATAATATATTTACTAATGTTATTGACAGCAAAATGTCTAGTGGATTACTTATAAATGATATTAGTGATCATCTACCAGTATTTGTGGTTTATGACTGCCATGTTAGAAATGAAAGGCCAAAAACAAATCTTTTTTATAGGAGGGTGATGAACGAACATGCTGTAAGGAGGCTAAAAGAGGATTTTATGGGGCAAAACTGGGAATCAGTTTACAAAGAGGAAGACTTAGACAAAGCATATGAGCAATTTTTAAATATATTCATG